CCGGCAGGAGAAAGAAGAAAAGTCCCCTTACACGGCTTCCATGTCGAGATCATCCTCATCGTCTTGGGAGAGCCGCAGATAAGGGTTGTCGGAGGCGGGTCGGAATTTGTATCCGGTGAGGACGAAAAACACCAGCGTGGCCATTTCGTCCAGCAGCTGCAACCGAGAACGGAAGGCATGTGGGGTGATGGACACCTTTCACGATGCTCAGCGTAGACCATTGTGTTGCAATAATAATACAGTTTTTAAATGCGGTATAAAAGATTCTGTAATATAGCCCACTGTTTTCTATCTTCACACTTTTTTGGGGGGGGTGTTCTCACTGTTGATTCTGTTTGGTTGATGGATTTTTTTCGGCGCTGCGGCCTGAAAGGCAAGCCACAGTATTTTCCCTGTCTCCCTCCCGGCGTTCTTGACGATGGTCTTGAAGGACGTTTCTCGGGTACGTGCGCTCCGAGATCAATAAACCAATTATGTTTTACTCATCGCGTCTAAAATCCGGCAGCCCCACCGAAGAAAGCAGAGCAGGAAAAAAATAAAAACGCCAAAAAAACCCAGCCACCCATCTTTCGAACAAAATAAATAAAAGGCCAAGCTCGAAATCTATGTAACAATCATGGAAATGGAGAACAGCGCCTTCCGAGAGACGGAGTTTGCTGCACACAGGAGAAAAAGCTTTGCTAAGATCTATATTTTAACGTCTAGCTGCGGCTCTGAAAGGAGAAATTGCGGGGGCGGTTTGTACCTGATAGAGCCATTTCCACTGGAACGGAACAGCGATTTTGATGAGGATGGTGATGATCCGTGTGAAGTAAATGTAGCACACGATCTGGGGGCAGAGGAAGAGAGTCAGCCTTCAAATATCAAACTGGAACGCCGGCCCCCAGCAACTCACCGACGGTTTCTCGAGCCGGAAAGAAGGCAGGCCGGTATCTGAGACAGATCTTTGTTTACCACCCACCCGCCCTGGCCACGATCCTCCAAGTAGCTGCTCCAAGGGAGGCCAAGAGAAATCCTCTTGTAGAGATAGAGCCTCTTCTGCGTTGGCGCCAACATGATGGAAGCCAAGTGGGGCTGTCCCCCCCCCATCCCTTCCCTCTTTCAACCCCTTTCAATATTTTACTCCTTTTTTAAAAAAAAGCAATTAAAACTGAATTCAACAAACAACAACCGAGAGCCGTTCAGAAGTGGGGGCAAAGGCAGGCTTAAGGGTGTCGAAGGGTTAACCGCGCCAGCCGTCCCCAACCTGGTTCGCACGGACGTGTGACACATCTCTTACCATGACGTAGTATTGCTTGAACAGCTTCAGCTTTGCAAGATTAATGGCAGCTGCAGAAAAGAGCACATGGACAGAACAGAAGGTGAGAGGGGAGGGGTGCCGGTTGCCAAACAGAAACGGGCAAAATCAAGAAAAAGGAGTAACGGTTTTAAAGAACGCATTTCAAAACCTCAAGACGGAGCATCCTACGTGCCCAAAACCGCTCTACATATCATTGCTTGTTTGATTTAGAGGTCACCCTTCTCCCAATAAGGACATTACATGCCAGCTGGTAGCAGCCTTTTATCCAAAGGAATCAAATCTGGGGATGACTTGGTTAATATTTTAAAAATTCATACGTTCTTATGTTTTACTCAGTTTTTCGGCATCCACAGGGCGGGGGCGTTTAGAACCGATCCCCCGTGGATACAGTGGTCCGATAAAACTTCCCGCAGCATTTAGAAAAAAAGGAGAACATTGAAATCTATCATTGGAGAATATGAAAATGCAAAGATAGATGGATTTGTTCTCTGACGCTATTCACCTCCTTGGGGAGCAAAACGAGCAGGAGTGGCTACCGAAAGATGGTTCAGCAAGACCTAGGACGCAGTCATCTAAATATCGATGCCTCATCATCAACAGAAGGAAGGAAAAGATGTCTGAGCTTGTAAACACTGGGCAAAGGAAACACGCTTTAACTGTGCCGGTATGTCAAACCTCCGCCTGCGCTCGCAGTCATAAAAAGCAGTGGAGTTCTCACGACACAGGCTTGCGTTTTTAATCAATCTCGCGTCACCGGCAACGGAAGGGTGCTGATCCCTTCGAAACGCGGGCGATGTCTTGATGTTCCCCACGAGCAGCAAACGGCGGGCAGATGGCGCAACTTCTCAAACATCGTTGTTGAAGCTGGCGCGCACGGCCACGAGGAGCGGTGGCTCTCCCAACCTTGCAGAAGGCCGACGGGGAATGCATTAGCAGCGTGGCACGGACATCCGGTTGCTGGAACTTTGATTATAGAGCGGCCACCGACAACCCAGAGCTTGGCCAGGGTCATTTTGCATCTCGGCCATTTTTAAGACTGTCGCTCTTTCCGCTCCTCTGTTATCGCGGCGGCGGCTGCTGCTGCTCTTAAATGTTTAATTTTTAAAAAATTATGCAGAGAGCATTCTGATATGGGTGGATGTTCACCCACCCGTTTCCACATTTATTTATTTATTCATTTTTATTGATAGGCAGCCTTTCTTCCAATAAGGGGAGCCAACGTGGGTTGCGATATTAAAAGAACAGGACGGTGTAAGTTAAACTTTTTTTAAAAAAGAAAGTGCAATCAAACGATACGCGCGTTAAAACACAACGGAAGAATTAAAAGCAGGCAAAGATGAACAATTATCTTGAGTCACAAATGGCAAGTGGGGAGTTGGTAGTCCTGATGGTTTATAAGCCTGCCTGAAAAGGTGGGTCTTCAGGTGGTCGGATTGAAAGAAGGGGGCCAGCCTGATCTTGACACCCCCACGCTCCACAGAGGTCTGGGGGCAGGAGGCGGTGCCGCCTCTAACCGTTCTGCAGAGTTGCCTTCCCCTTGAGCCAAAGTCACCTCGAAAGGCAGGCTTCTTCTCCTCGGCCCCAGTGTCATCTTAGACGTGGCGTCTTCGATTTCTCTTCCCCCGCTTCCCCGCAGCATTATCGCTGGTGCCTGCAATGTCCCGAGGTGTGTTCAGCAAGGGCAGGACAGAGTTTTAGAAATAAGAGAAGGTGTTCTCCCCGAGCCGCCCTCCTCTTTCCTTCCCGGGAGGGGGGGGGGCTCCTCAAAGCGCCAAGAATGCTGTTTTCGCAATCCCGCAAAAAGACGGCCAGAGGGACGCCTAGCCAGGCTCGGCAAACAGTCTCCTTCTGTATTCGCTCGCCATGTTAGACATTAAGAAACTTATAAGTGGGGACCTGGGAGAAGGCCTTCGCTGCGGCTGCTCCCAGACTCTGGAACTCCCTGCCACTGGGAACTAGGCTGGCTCCATCTTTGCCGTCCTTCCACAAGCAGACAGAGACCTTTCTCTTCATGCTGGCTTTTCCTTCGTGACTGGCAGCCTGTGTGGGGTTCTTTAAATGGACGGCGGTGGCCCCGTTGATTTTAAATGTGATTTTAGTACGGATTTAATACAATACTTGGTTTCATTCTCTTTAAATGTTTATACACTCACTCCTTTTTAGCTTTTAAATATTGCCCTTTTCTCCTTTTACGGAGAATGGTGGGGTAAAAATATTTGGAAGGGAGGGAGATCAATGTGATTCCTTTCACATTAAGGAAAGGAATGTGTTGTGAAAACAATTAAAGAAAACAGGAATGGGGTGACGTGGAGGAGATTATAATTAAGACAGCAAAGAGAGAGGAGGTGAAACCTAAGAAAGTAGGCAGAAGTCAGCTATATGAACACAGATCAGGTCAGCGATACGTGACTAGCGCACATCTGTAAACTCTGAGACACATCATTTGGACATTAACCCAAGTGTACCCCTTTATAAAAAAATTGCAGCCCCTTAAGGGCTAACTGCAATATTTTAATGTCAGCTTTCATAGACACTTCCTCAAACTGTGAAACCTAAGAAAGTAGGCAGAAGTCAGCTATATGAACACAGATCAGGTCAGCGATACGTGACTAGCGCACATCTGTAAACTCTGAGACACATCATTTGGACATTAACCCAAGTGTACCCCTTTATAAAAAAATTGCAGCCCCTTAAGGGCTAACTGCTATATTTTAATGTCAGCTTTCGTAGACACTTCCTCAAACTCTCTCCCTCCCTCTCCCTCTCTCATTTTTCTTTTGTTTACGGCCTGGTATGCTCGCACAGATGAACACAGCTACCCGTTCTAAAACTTCCAGTCCTTACCTTTTCCGTCTGTCGCCGAGGCCTCCTGTAGGTGTCTTACTGACCTGGAAGCGAGGACGTAAAATCAAAATTGGTGACATGCTATTTTCTGGGTTTCATTTTTAGTCCACTGACGGTTACAAAAGGAAAGCCCCCAACCCACTAGCGGGACTCGTAATTGAAAAGCTAAAGCTCCAGGATCGAAAAGAGAGATTTTGCAAGAGGGCAGCTTGAGTCCATGAATGGAACAGTCCAAAGTAGGAAATCCGTATCTGCTGGGATCGGCTCCAAGCCCCGTGGATACCAAAAACTGTGGATAACAGCAATCTCCCCCCTCTCTCTATACACACACAATGGTGAAGGGGCCAGCCGGGAGGATGCCAGGAAGAGGGCAAAGCTTCTCCCTTACCACATGACAGGAAACAGGATGGCCCCGCAGCAGAGTAAGTCCACCAGGAAAAGGATTTCCTTCCACAGCCCGTATTCCGTCGTCCCCTCTTCCGTGGACTCTATGATGATGTAGGCGATGTTGGCCAATACCTAGCAAAAGGCAAGAGCGTTGCGCCAGCGTGAGGTCGGTTGGCGAGGGTGGATCAAGCAAGAGGCCACAGTTCTGTAAGGAAAACCACTTAACAGCTTCCTGGGGGGGGGTTTTCTCCGTTCTCACTTGGAAATTTAAGAAAACCAAGTTTCTCACCCGGGAGTGGGTTACGTTTAACCGTCGAGATGGGCGCAAACCGACGGATCAGGGGGCCCTGACTGTCGTGCAAGCACGACTCACGATTTCGTCTTGTCTACAGACAAAAAACAGAGGGGCCGTTTGGCTTGGCTTTGCCTCTCTCTCCAGACGGGACTTAAACCCAGAGAGAACTCCCATTTTCTGAGGCTCCGGACGCTCCGGACAGTGCTTCCTGTTCCCCTGGGGTGCCCCCCGTTTGGGCGCGCGCTGCCGTACAGCTAACCAGGGTCCGCACGGAGCAAGCAGAGAACAGGGGCGTCTCTCGAACCAAAGGCACTTTGGGGAAACGCAACACTCATCCTGCCAGACCCCTGGCCGGCCTCACCTGCAGAGGGATGACAATCATGAAGATTTTCTTGTCCTTATCGGAGAGGATGTGCTTGATGAAGGCCCAGCCGGTGCCAATGAGGGCGATGGTGATGAACAGCAACGCCCCTTTCAGCCTGAAAAACAGACCGGAACAAACACAAGCGGTATCAGCCGCAGCCAAAAGCGGACGCGAATGGGAGAATTAAGAACAGCCCTGCCTAATCTGGAGCTCTCCGGATGTGGGTTACGAAGCCCACCCTCTCTGCCATCATCAGCACCATCATAACCAACAACACCAATATCAAGAACAGCAGCTATACGATGTTGACATTGAACAGAGTTCTCATACAAGCTGTGCAGAAATCAGTCTGCCTTTGCAAGTACAGTAGGGAACCCCCCCAATATCTATAGGGGATTGGTTCTAAGCCCTCCCCCCACGGATGCAGAAAAACATGGATTACAGCAAACGCTATTTTACGGTAATATCGAATGCTATACATAGCATAGTCTATGTCTCCCTCTAATGGCCAGTTGTGGTAATTTCACCTTTGGAAATATATATTTCTAAGGTGTTGCCTTTTAATATTTTTAATACTGTCAGACCGTGGAATCAGTGGATACTGATCCTGCGGATGGGGGGGCATCCCTATCATACTTGGCTTTTCCTACCTCTTTCCCACAGAAGGAAAGGGAAGCCAGTGAAAACTGACCCCCCCTCACCCTGCTGGCCCCCTCTGCTTCCCGACTGTAGCCTACGTTGAGATACGGTGGGCGTACTTACAAGTGAGTGATATAATAGACGACGGCCCAGCCTTCGATGGGGTAGCCCTGAGTTGAGATGTAGTGGTAGTCGATCTGGAGAAAGAAAAATAGAAATCCGATCCAAGTTCTGTATTCAGGAGGTAAAAAAATATATATTTGAGCAACAAGCTTGCCCTTTCCGGGTAAGCAGATGCAATTAAGGTTTAACTATTCACTTTTTTTAAAAAAAAACCTTCTTTATCCCTGGAGTGTCAGGGTGATGGATAAATGGACATGGCAAGAGAGCACTGCAGCAACAGAAGATACAGATTTGCCCATTTTTTCTATTTTTTAATATTTTCAGACCGTGGATAAGTGAATCAGTAGATACTGAACCCCGGCAAGTCAGGGGCATTTCTAAATCTCCCACGGGTATTTTGTTGTGGTCAGTGGCCATCTTTGACCCTTCTGGCATGCAGAGGGAAGTCACAACAAACAAACAAAAATATGACTTACGGCGTGGAAGACTAAAGAGAGGGATTTGGTAAAAGGAAGGGCGGCCATCAGCCAGTGGATTTTGAACACGTCAGCCCTGTAATGAAAAGGTGAGAATTAATTAACTCCCGAGTAGAACAAAAACGATCTCGCTCACAATCTGGAATGTCTTATTTATGTCTGATGAAGGGAACTTGTCGACAAAAGCTCACATCCACAGACATAAAAGTTAGTCTTTAAAGATGCTACTACAATTCTGCCTTTTTAAAAACTTTCACTTTCTTTGCAAGATCTCAGGAGTGGCGACGTAATGCCGACATCGAACCAAGAGCAGAGGGTTAACAATTTATTTATGAGTATAACTACACGATCTGTTTAATTCTTCTTAAATACCGTAACCGTTTCTTATTTTTGCATGTAATGTTGTTTCTTTTTAACGCAGAAGGAACCACCACCACCCCATGTCCGCAAGGATCGGTATCTGCTGACGGTGGACAAAAGCTCATGCTGGAATAAATCGGTTAACCTGAAAAGAGGCCACTGAGATTTCGCTTTTGGGCTTCGTTATTAAAGCTGAAACAGGCCAATTTGATTCCTTCTTAGAAAACTGGGACTCTGGCTTGCCTCGGCTCTTCAATTTTACAAACACAGCATGAGGAGCGATATGACAGAAGCTTCAGCATGTTTAGTATGCACGGGGCGACGCTGTAGATGGAGGATGTCTGTCTGTTTAAGGTTCCTACTATAAGACGAAGCAGTAACTATAGCCAGCTAAATGTTTCATATCGTCAACAGCGCCATCACCATCCTCTCCAAACTGCAGAGCTGGAAGGGACCCTATGGGGTCATCTAGTCCAGCCCCTGTCAAGGGGGGGTTGGGGATCGAACGCCCAACCTCCGGCTCTGCAGCCGGATCCCCCTTAAGCCCCTACTCACCTGCGCTTCCGAAGGGTGTGGACCCACACGGTCCCGGCGACGAAAAAGAAGAGGGCCATAGAAATGTACAGCTTGGGCAGCGGGATTTCGCCGGCTGAGAGGTAGCTGTCGGGATTCTCCTCCATGATCCCAATCTGAAAGGGGAGAAAGAGTTACATTGGGAAAGAACGGCGCCCGTAAAGGACGCCTTCAGAGGCTGCAACCCTGGGGGGCTGGGAGCTGTTTTCGCACTCAAGACCTTCGAAAGCCAAGAGGGGCTTCTTGTTGGAGAGCAGAGCACCGTGGCCTCTTGGCAGCCCGTGGATTCCCAAACCCACCGATTCCCGCAAAGTAAAGCGCCAGGAGAAACATTTGTAGGGAAGCGCAGACAAACGTTTAATCCCCCGTACCCCGTATCATCCCCCCCTGGCTTCGGATCTGTGAACAAAAACAACCCTCTTAAAGCAGAGATGAGACATTGTGGGTTGTGTGTGTGTGTGGTTTTTTTTGGGGAACTCGCGGGAACCGTCCTCTGAAAAAAAAAAAGCCA